AACCAAATTATTGATTTTTCGCTTCTTAGAGTGCATTTAGTGCCTTTGATTAAATGCGTGACAAAATTTTGTTGGTTTAAGTCAGCAGATTTTAACCTCATTGTACATTCAAAGGTTGGCGGTATCGTAACATTTGACTACGCTCAACAACTGTCGTCTATCAAGTGATATGGCCTTTGCATTATTCTTGTCACATGAAATGATTCTTAGTTACATTTTTCATTTTGTATTATTATTTATTAAACTCGGAAATAAAACACTGGAAAAGGCCTTCTTACGAATAGAATCTTTCTTCGCTTGGGGTGGATAAACAAACGAACGTCGCGCGCGTGTACGAGGAGAAGGGGAGCGGGTTGGAGGGGAGGGAGAGGTGATGTGGTGAGGGAACGGTGAGAATGTATACAAACAGTGAAATACTTTCAATTGAATTATCAATTCGACAAGTGAATTGTGTAAGCAGATTGTTTTCATTTCTTTTTTGTTTCGATCCTCATTGGAAAAACATTTCCTTTACTTGCTGCTTTTGTTTCAGAAAACTGAATAACGTTAGCGTTCCTCGGTAAACATAACCTAGATTTTCTCAGGGATGAAACGAAATCACGAAAGCAGTTCTGACAGCACCGATGATGATGATGACGAACATCTTCCAGCTCCCAAGGTTGAACGAAAACAGTGGTTGAAGACTGGCAATGTTTGTATTACTTGAAGCAACAAGGTTATCTACGTAAACGGTGTGAACAAATTTAGTTACTGACTCTTGTTTGTTTTGATAGGTTCCACGATCAACTTTAATGAGATGGGATAAGAAACAGAAACAGGATCCTTCTGAAAGTTCAGAGAGCAGCAGTGATACGTCAAGCAGCAGTGAAGAGAGTGAGCACCACAATGGAAATAATGAGCATCAGGAAGACCATGGAGCAAATAATAGTTTCGGTGTTGATGAAGGACCTGTTGGTGATGGGCCTGGTGATGACCATGGGCCTGGTGATGACGATGGCCCTGGTGATGATGATGGGCCTGGTGATGACGATGGCCCTGGTGATGATGATGGGCCTGGTGATGACGATGGCCCTGGTGATGACAATGGCCCTGGTGGTGACGATGGGCTTGGTGATGATGATGGCCCTGGTGGAGATCGCAATAATCACGGAGATGACAATGCTGAAAACAATAACAGAGCCCATGAAGAAGCACATGTCTTTCAATTTATGCCTGAACCATTACATGCAGGATCCAGAATCTCGTGTGGAGAGGCGGTACTGAAATTAATGAGTCTGTACTCCCAGCATGCCATATCAAAATCCTGCCTGAGAGATCTTGTCACTCTCATTCATGAAATATTGCCTGTTGGAAACCTGTTTCCCAGTACATACTATTTTCTTGTTTCTAGTCTTCAGCCCCTCATTCCAGAGCAGTCAGCTGTTAAACATTGCTCTTGTGAGAAATGTGGTGTTTATATGGGGCTTTTCACAAATCAAGCAGTAGAGTGTCATGTCTGTGGGTCAAATCAAATGATAGTGTTCATTGAATTTCCCCTAGCTGCATTAATTAAATACATGTTTGAAAAGAAAAATTTAGCAGATGCCATAGATTCTTATGGAGGTGGCAAAGGATCTGACATCACAAGAAGCGAAGAGTATCAGAAAGTGAAACAAGCCCTTCCAGGGAAATATGATGTGCAGCTGCAGTGGAACTTTGATGGTGTACAGGCACATAACAACACTTCAGCATCTTTGTACCCAGTAATTGTTACTGTTGTTGAAGTGGCCCCCAATGTGAGAGAAGAATACACCATGGTGGTAGGGCTCTGGCATGCCAAAAAGAAGCCACATATGAATTCTTTTTTGGTACCATTAACGGAAAGTCTCATTAAACTTAAGAATGAAGGTGTTACTTGGATACATCCGAAGACAAATGAAACCCACGTGAGTAAGGTGGTGGCTCCCATCCTGACAGTAGATGCACCAGCAAGAGCAATGGCCCAAAACCTGATGCAACACAACGGTGAGTTTTCTTGCAATACCTGTGAGATTGAGGGGATGGAACTTAAGCTTGGAGAAAAATCACGCAAAAGAGTTGTTCCATTCCCTGATGAACCAGCTCCATTGCGGACACAACACTCTATGAAAGAAGCAGCTACCAGAGCGGAAGCTGAAAATGTCGTTGTAAAGGGAGTGAAGGGGTCATCAATCTTAGAAGCAATACCGGAATGTGACCCTGCATCAGGTGTTGTTCTGGATTACATGCATTTGGTCTTATTAGGAATATGTCGCCAATTTTATGAACTGTGGTTTACCAAATCTGGAACCGACTGGTACATCGGAAACAAAGCAAGTCAAGTTACCAATTACTTGAAGAATATAAGAAGAACATATGAAACTACCAGATGCCCACAAGATGCCAAGAAATACAAGACTTTTAAAGCGTCCACCTGGCGTACTTGGCTTCTCTTTCTGTCTCTGCCTGCTCTTCTAGGAAAATTGAAAGATAAATATTGGCAGCACTGGGCTCTGTTGGTTGTGGGAATTTCATTACTTCTTAAAGGAGATGAAATTTCAGACAATGAAAGGGCCCTTTCTGAAAATTTATTGACCATGTTTGTAATGGACACTCAAGAACTTTATGGGTATGAAGCCATGACCTACAATTTGCACTGTTTATTGCACCTGCCGCTACTTACAAAGCGATGGGGGGCTTTGTGGGCATGGTCCCTATTTAAGTATGAGAATGTAAATGGAATACTGATTCGTTTGCTACATGGGACAAACAAAGTCACCTGTGAACTGAGCAATACACTTAATCTCATTATTGCTACAAGTACCTTGAAGTATTTAATGCATCCTGAAGAGTATTTAGTAGGTCAAAGGCAGTTCAAATTGCTATCCAGAAAAAATGCTCATATAATCCCTGCATTTGCAAGGCATACTATCCTTGCTCATTTTCCTGATGGGTCAGCAATTTCAATTTTTGCCCGTGCCAAATATGGAAGAAGGATTCTTACATCTGAACTTTACACTGCTGAAAAGACTACAGATAATAAGACAGTGTGCTTTAGAAACGGACAGTCAAAAAGTTATGGCATTATACAATGTTTTGTAGAATGTGATGGCCTGTATGCTTTGATTCGCCTGTTGTCAGTGGATGGGGAAAGGTACTTAAAAATAAGTGAATTAAATATAGTCATACAACATTTAATACCTGTAAATAGTACCGACACACTCTTAATAATACCTTTGGCTGATATCTATTGTAAAGTCATGAAGGTACATAATTTTGTTTGTGTTGAGCTCAATCACTTCGAGCAAAAGTTGTAAAATTTGGAGCATCATTCTTTGTTCTTGATTTTCGTAATTGTATATTAGCAAACAATAAGTCATGAATCTAAGTCACTAAAGCAACTTTGTGATTGAATGTGATGGTAAACAAGCAACAGGGTTTACAGAAAATAATTATATAAATAAAAGCATTATGATGATAAGAAACTGTAACTTTATCAATATTTTATGCATTGCTGTCCATCCCTCTTGGAGTTTTCCTGCAATAAAATAATTCATGAAGATAGTAGTTTACTATTCCTCAGCCCTACCTACTGCTACATACATACCTCTTTCTGGATGTTCCTCCAAGCACTGGTGATGTTGGGTACGTGTTCTGTATAGCTTTAACTTCATTTTCCAACTCGTTTATTCTTTTCAGTAATCTAGCATTCATGCATTGGGCACACTCTGATTGTTTGTCACGGAACTCCCTGAAGGATTCGTGATATATTGGCAAAGTTGTTTTAGAAAACTTCTCAAGAGTTCGGTGATAAACTCCAACATGCCAATGTACGTGGGCAACTTCTTCTGATAATCTTTCATTTGCAGCCCTAAGTTCGGAAGCCTCCTCTTTCAAAGAACTGTTTTCTTGTTTCAGTTCAATAATTTCAGCTTCGAGTTGGGAGACCTACAGAGAGAAGTGCATTAATTACATTTCAATTTTTTTTTCCATAACTGAAACAGAGAGCGATACACTAGAATTTTGAAAAGTGTCTTGTCCTCACAATGTTTTGCTCTTTCTATCTCAAGTGGCAGCTACATTTTCATTTACGCTGCTTCTGGCTTAGAAATGGGTTCGCATACAGCACCCTATTCTGCTCACATAATTCTAGCAAAATGCTTCAAAAATAAACGATACTTTTAGACAACGAAAGGCTCTTGTACTTGGTTAGATGCATGGTATTTGCCTCAAAATGTCTTTTTTGTATGATTTTTTCAAACTTAAAAAATAAAACAATAAAGTCAAAATGAAATGGTTCTTACCTTGTTCTGCTTACAAGTGGAGTTATCAAGGTCTGGAAACATGCGCTGCCCATTCTCCATATGATCATAATCTTGATCATAATCAGAATGTTCTTCTAAATCACTGTAATCTGACATGTCTTGGAATTGTTGCTATGTGAGAATTGGTTATGTGATTTTGTGATTCTTCTTCGACGTCTTCCATTTCGATATGACTACTCGCCCCACGGCAGCCAACACAGCGACAGGTATTTGAAACGTTACGGTTGTCGCGCGCACAAACACCGGATATGGCGAAGACGTATGGTGGGTGGGGGTAATGTACCACTCTAATCAGGTGTACATTTATTAAAACAAACTGAACCCGGTATTGGGTTTTCATAGGTTGTAACAAATCCGTAATGTTAACATCTTGCTCAGATATGATAATATTTAGTTATATCTGACCAGATCTGAAAAAGATATGTCTGAATATGGGCAATCTGTTGAAATCTGGTTGTATCTAGCATATCTGCTTTAACCTGGCTCATATCAACTCAGATATGTCCTTATCTGCTTTAGATACAGTTTAGTATGGGAAATCTGATGTAATCTGGTTGTATCTAGCATATCTGCTTTAACCTGGCTCATATCAACTCAGATATGTCCTTATCTTGATCAGATCGGACCACATCTGTCCTAGGTCTGGCACACCTCCCAGATTGAACAGATCTGGTATTACCTGTGTATACCAGGCCAGATCAAGGCAGGTCTGACCTTTTTCACATGGGAAATGAATGTGACAGGGCGATTCCTTGGGTCTTAATCCATTGTTTAAAAATCATGGCATCTCATAACATTCAATTTTTAAGTGATTTCTGAGCAATAAAAGACGCGGCGGCAGACCGTCTCCACCCGCCGTCCGGCCGACTGGGCAGTGGCGTGGTGTAGCGCGGCGCGCCGAGCTTGGCTTCAGCCGCGCCATAGGAGTTTCCACCCCCTGCTTATGCAAATGAGCCAGCGACGAAGTACTCACACGCTCCGAGAGATGGCGGCACCACAGCGGGGTCATTCCACGCCAAGTCGTCAAGGTTTTGAGGGACGTGTCGGCCGAACCCAGCGGTATTTTCAGGGATTGTTGGCCCTATGGGCCCATTGCAGGCCCGGTACTTTTTTCCCCGGAAAGTCGGCAGGGGTCTGAGATATCTCAAACTTCATTTTTGGTAAAAGAAATTACCTATCAACCTAAAAAAATTTATACCTCGGAAAGTATTTGTCCTT